CCTTGGCAAGAGCTTGGAGCTCAGCAAAGCTCTCAGAGGGAAAGAACATCTACATTTGTGACATCTCCTGCAAACCTGTCTCAGGAAGAGTGACAATGGGCAACTGACCATTGTTGACCCTGGGGGTCACCAGTAGGCAAAGTTCTCTCCAGGTCTAACCAATGACATTATGTTTAAGAGGATGAAGATCACTGAGGTCCTGCAGCCGGAGACTTTTCCTGCCATGGGCTAGGTCTTCTAACTGCCTCCCCATTAGCCAGGTTGGGCTGCAAAATTCCAAGTCGAATTCTTGGTTCCAAGATTTTCACTGCCATACATCTTGCTTTTGTTTTGTTTTCAGTGGGTTCTCCCCGAAGTCCTGTAAACAAGACCACCTTGACCCTGATCAGCATCACCAGCTGTGTGCTTGGCCTCGTCTGCTCTTCCCACGTCAGCTGCCCTCTCGTGGTCAAAATCACCCTGCATGTACCAGAGCACCTGATTGCAGATGGTGAGCCCATTCTCCTGAGGATGTGACCTCTCCACCCAAAGAGGAAAGTTTATAGATTGGGCAAAGATTAAAGAGGCCAGGGCTTATCGTGGGGGGGGGGCAGTGATGGAATAAACTCAAATCAAGTCTAGGACAAGATTGGATGGCTCACAGATGAACTCAGAAAACAGGTGAACAAAACAAAGAAACTGAACAGATCGCTTCTCTACGCCCACTCGCATTTTTGTTTGTTTTTACATAAGCTTCTGTCTTCATAGAGAAAGGCAGAGTTGCACTGGTTACAGGTAGGTAGACGCCAAGATTCTCTTAGCCTTTGAGAAGGGAAAAGCTAAGTGGAGTACTAGAGGTGTTTAAGGACTAGCCATGCTTTGGTTTGGCATACTCGGGTGAGAAATTCCTAATTGCAGTAGCTTGCTATAAGCCTAGAACTCAGAAGCAATAATTTACTTTCATCCAGGGGGACCCCAATATAATGAGGGAGTAATATAGGTTCTGAGAGTCTCTGAATCATTTAAGCCCAGAGCAGCTAATTGACTTGTTAATGTCAGTTCTCTCAGCTGCTGGAAGGCTGAAAACAGGTGGGGATGGCTGGTACTATTAAGAGGGCCTGCTATTTCATGGCATGTGAAGAAGCAGCAGTGGGTCCCTGTCCCTTGGATGAGCGCCAGTGCCTGTGGCAGGTCTGATGGAGCATGTCTCACCCACACAGAGCTGCCCCATCCCTGTATCCTTAGGAACAACTTAGTAGAGATGGGATGGGCATAGCAATGGGAGATGATAGAGCTGAAGGGCCTAATGTTCCCAGTCTTACAGTGGCCCAAGTGGTAGCTGAGCCTCACTTGGTGACCCCTTGTTCTGAGGCTAATGATGGACTAGACCTGGTGGGGATAACAATCTTGGACTGGAACTAATCCTTGGACTATGATTTACTCCATCTTTGGTGATTTGTACATTTGTGTTGTGTGCACCCAGGCATGCTTCTTCTCTCTTGCCCTGCAGGGAGTCGCTTCATCTTGCTGGAGGGGAGCCAACTTGATGCCAGTGACTGGCTGAACCCTGCCCAGGTGGTTCTCTTCTCTCAGCAGAACTCCAGCGGGCCCTGGGCCATGGACCTCTGTGCCCGGCGGCTCCTAGACCCTTGTGAACACCAATGTGACCCCGAAACTGGTAGGCGGGAGCATCGGGCAGCGGGTAACTGTCAGAGAGATCATGCCTCTTGCAATCACTTTCTCAAAACTCAGTCCATCCCTTCTAGCTCCATTGTCCCATTGCCATCTTGAGCTGAGGTCGTTTGAATTGCCCTCATGTAGTTGGGCCACTGAGCATGACGGCTACAACTGTGTGGTCATCTTTTGGTAAAAGACTCAGAAAGATCACAACTATTGCCCCATCTAGAAAGTCTAGTTCAGGTTGACTTCCATATCCCATTTGTCATCCATCAACTACTGGAGTCTGACATGTTATGATTATGACATGTTTATTGCAGAAAAGGAGGAAAATTTAGAAAACCTTATAAAAGTAAATGATAATCATCTATATGTCTATCTCCTGGACAAGTCACTTTCAAAATTTCAGTGTTCTCCTTGTCAGTCTCTTCTCTATATTTGAGTTTTGAGACTTCCTGGAAATATAGTAATTCTAGTAGGGTTTTCTTGCTTTTTTTTTTTTTTTTTACTTAACATTCTATCATGAAAGCTTTCCAGAATCATTAAATAATCCTTAATAATACCATTTTAATGGGCATTCAGTATTCTATTGTACACCTATATCATAGCTCATTTAAACAGTCTTCTATTATTTGGCATTTAGGATGTTTTAATTTTTAAATTTTTTATAAATACTGTTAAAATGAACATCTTTACACATGAATGCAGGGCACATTGGAAGTTATTTTCTTTGGATAAATCAGAGAGTGAGATTACTGGGTCAAAGAGATTACTGGGTCAAAAACATCATTAAGCCTGTTTTACAATCAAGTAGAACTGAGGTTTCTCTGAGTGAAAATCCAGAGGCAGGTATGACATGAATTAGAGCATCTGCATTGCTCCTCGAGCTCTAACATTCAAGATCACTTTGTACTTCCATCATAGAAGTAATGTTTATAAAGACCTGTTTCCAGTAGATTGAGTATGACAGAGAGGTCCTTCTTGGAGAAGTGCTATGATGCCTGAAAGCAAAGGAAAGGGATGAAGAGATATCCAAGATCCCCCAAGCGCTGGAGTCAGGGGCCAATTCCTCAAACTCTTTGTACATTGTGTTCAGTCCTCTCATGGAACACACGTGAACACACCCACACACACACACACACACAGATACATCTTTAGGCACTGAAGTGGAGGAATCTTACTAGAGGTAGAACCTGAGATATCTAGTCCTTCCATTATAACCCATTACGAAATCTCTTTGGGAGAGTAACAGGTAACTGCAACATCTGAAGTTCACCTTCTCAGGTCGTAAAGTTGTTTCACGTGGGCCCATCACAGAGATTCTAGGTCCCCATATGGTGGAGCAAGTGCAGCATTTTAAGCATCTGATGTCTAAGACTGTGCTTACTTGCTGCTTCTCCCACGCTGTCAGGCAAACACCAAACCAAACAGATGGGCTGTGCACCATGCCCAAAAGCTAGTGTGCTCAGGAGAAATGAAAAAGAACTAATCTCAGAGGTGGAGCCTGTCCATGCAACTGAGCTGGGCTCTGGTACTGGTACTCTAGTTCTCCAGCTGGTTTGGATTAGGAAGATTTGGGACAATCTCAGTCATTAAACTCCCTTCAGAGAGATGCACGATCTCAAAGGAACTTGGATGCTCCTACTTGAGTTTTAAAGGACAGGAAACACCTTTGATTACAAGAAGAAAAGGGATTGGTATATCACACTTAGATCTTAAAGATAAACTGCCTCCTTCCTACAGACCAACAATTGAAGTCCTTAAGGACTTCAAATTACATGACTTGCCCAAAGTCTTACATAAAGCACGAGTCTATGCTTTATCTATCATGAAACCAGCAGAGGTGGGATGCTAAAGGGTTGCATAAATTCCCTAGACATGTCAGGCCCAGCATGTTTGTCATTCAGAACTCTAAGCAACAACCATTATTGAGCATTAAGCTCCACATGCTAGGAAGCTGCTTGTCAGCAAAGCTCTCCCGTCAGACCTTTCCAATGTGTCTCATTTCAAATCCTTGCTGAAAATGACTTTGGGATGCCCCTCCTCTGCTCATAGCTTCCTGGTGTCTGTGACAACTAATAAATTTCCAACTGGAAAGCCACAGAGAGAGACTAAAAATAAGAGCCCACACCCTATGTAGAGCTAAGGTGCAACATCTTCATTTTGGTAGCTGCTGCAAAACAGCACTGCAAAGACTTTTACTTTCATTTATGTTGGATTTGGGAAGCCCCCTCCCCGCAATCCTGCTGCTTTCAGCACATGGGATGATGTGGTCATCCCACACACTCATTTTTTTTATCGCCTCCCACACTCCGTCCTAGAGCCTCTCTCCACAGAACTGAGTGTGGGAATTGGCTTCAAATCAAGTCGACGTTATTTTTGCAATCCTCCAGCTAACTTACTTGGAAATGTCATAGTGTGGGGACATGTGCTTTCCCAGCCATTCAGAGAGGTCTGCCCATATGGGTGTGGAGCTGTGCAAGTGTAATTGTATACTTTTTTCACAAACACACACACACACACACACACACACACACACAAACACAGATGCTTGGTCTTTGCAATGGAACAATCTCTGGTGTCTGGAGCTTTCCACCGGCATCCTTCCTAAGAGCATCCCAAGCTAAGCCTGTGTTTCCCCATCACCTGCATACAGCTCCAGGATACCAGATGTAGGAGAAAGAGTAATGGACTCCCCAAAGCTGATTACATCCTAATCCTCTGAACTAGTGAATATGTTATTTTACATGACCATGAAGAATTAAAGTTGCATATGGAATGGAGGTTCCTAAATAACTATCTTTAAAATAAGAATATTGTCCTGGGTTATCCAAGTGGACCCAAGGGGTGTAAGGATCCTTAAAAATGGAAAAGGAAGGTGAAAGAAGAGGTCAGAGTGATGTGATTCAAAATAGCTCAATCAGCCATCGCAGGCTTTGATGATGGAAGAAGGGCCATGAGCCAAGGAACTGTGGGCAGCTCTAGAAGATAGAAAAAGGCAAGGAAACAGATTTTTCCCCAAGAGCCTCCAGAAAGGAACATAGCCCTGCAGGCAACATGATTTTTGTCCATTGAGACTCATGTCAGATTTCTGGCCCACAGAACTGTAAGATAATAAATTCATGTTGTTTTCAACCACTAAGTCTGTGGTACAGTTTTAACTAAGGTGATAGAAAATTAATATATAAAGGAAGGAGAGAAAAGACAAAGAGAATGAACAGCCATTCTTGTGTTCCCTTTTCTTATCTCCCAGCCCAATTTCCAGACGGTCTAAAAGATGTGTCAGAAATCCGTGGAAGGAGGAACTGAGTCTGGAGGAAGCTTGCTGATCTGTTTTTCGTTCCAGCCTCCCTGTGTATTTTCATTCTGGCAATATGCTATCTGGGAGGGAGATCACGTATGGGAAGCTCCTAGCCCAATGCCTGGAATATAGTAAACACTAGCAAATGTCCTTATAGTCATCCAGGGTCCACAGACTTTCTGATTTGAATTTGGGTATACCTGAGAAATGAAATGATGGGGACACATTCCAGGGGCTGCCTGCCTCTTCTAATCTCCTGCTGAGCACTATGGCCTCTTCTAGCAATTCTCAAGCTATGCCAAGTTGTGTTCCCAGTGTCAGTTGTTTGGCGACTCAGGACATATGTTTCACTTACAACTTCAGAAAACATACTGTGCTCCTTCTTCCCATCACTCTTTCAGGTTAGAGAAAACTAGTGGAAAAGGTGCAGAAAAAAATGTTTTTCAGTAAAATAAGGCTGAGTAATATTTATCAAGAGCTCACCATGTGTCAAGCACTGTACTTTATTTAAATTATGTCATGGAAGCCTCACAGTAACACTACAAAGTAGATGGTATTGCAATCCATATTTTACATAGATATTAACCAATTTATTCATTGATGGCTTAGCAGGATTTGAGCCTAGGTTACTGTATACCAGAAAATACACTCCTGATTCTTTTTTTTTTTTTTTTCACAATAAAGTGCATGTGTGTACACATGGGGTTGAAACGAGAGAGAGAGAGAGAGGACTCCCTCTGTAGGGTTTATTTGTGCTGCGATCCCTTTCCCCCAGTCAGCTCCAACCTGTCAGATCCTGGGCATTCATATGCATGTCCAGCATGCTTTAGGTTGGCCTTGCCAGGGATTTGAACTATAGTTACCATGTGGGATCTGGCTACTCTTGAGCAGCATATCACCACTGCACCAGGGAGGCAGATATGCTCCTGATGCTGCTGTGACCCTGCTTCTGTACCACTTTCAGAGGGAGCCAAGGTGGAAGGTTTAGAATCATTCTGCTCCTGAGTGCAACAGAGCCCCAGCCTCCAATGAAGCCCTTTGCCAAATGCCCACAGACATTCTCCCCTGGATCCTCCCAGCTTTGCATCCTTAGATGTGTCTCTGGTCAAGTTGGGCTAACAGCAGAGCACTTTGGTTGTATGGCTGAGTGCCTTGCTGGATCCAGCTAGAGGCGACTTTTTCTGCATTTTCTCAGGGTTGCATTGGTTGTATGTTTGTTTCTATAGAAACATCAACTACTTGTTTTCAGTGACCTTTTCCTCCACTCTATTCCTGGCCTTTCTTTGGCCATATGGACAGCTGTGGAGGCTTCACAGGGATTTCATCCATACTAGCCATAGATTCTCATTGCCCTTTTCAAGATATGTAGCTTTTATGGTTCTGCAAGGAGCTCAGGCTTCCAAGTTAAATGAAGTTTTAATTTCTATCCAAGATGTTATCTGAAATTCCTCCTGTCCTAGTCTCTCCATAGACCAGACCAAGCCCTATAGAAATATGTAAACCTGTTGAGAGCCACAAGACCAGGTTTCCAGACTGAATCTAGCCCTCCTTGTCTTTGTCTGCTCTGAACCACTGCCTATCCCTCTAATCTTCTCTGGTTTCGTGAACTTAATTTGTCAGGGTTTTGTTCCTGCCACCAGGATTGCCCTCTTGCTCCCAAATCATTTATGCGGTTCCATTAATGTGGCTTCCTTCAGGTTGTTCTTCTGGCACCTTTTTCTGTCTCCCTTATTAGAGTGGAATGGTGTTATTCGACCCTGGGCCTGCTTATTGCCTGATGTCTCCATAAAGGAAGGACTCCAGGCAATTAAATAGTACCTGAGTCCTGGTTTCTTACAAAGATTTTCCTTTTTAGAAGAAGCACACCCAATAGGATGCATGTGCTTGCCAGAGAGACAGAAAGCAAGAAATCAATGGGGGATGGCCACACCACAATCTCTTCTCCTCCATTCTCCTCTCAGGATTTTAGACATGCACGCATATGCACCTGGCATGAGTTTAAGCCACCTGGTCTGGAACTCAAATTGCACTCGACTACATAAGAGTCCAAAAATGTAACCATTAGTCCCTCTGCTGATCCCCCAATTCCATATATTAAAAGCCAATGGCCAGGCCAACTCCATGCCTCCGTAGTTAAGGCAGCTTGACAGAACTCATAGATTGAGTCCCAGACCCCAGTGACTTGAGAAGCACGTAGAAATGTATGTGCTTGCCTAAAATCCTAATAGGATGAATAAAGGGAGAAGAGATTGAGGCATAACCATGTCTCGGTGATGTGGGGGATGCTTTCTACTCTCTCTTACTCTGTCTCTCTGTCTCTGGCAAGTGTACATGCCCTCTGGCTAAAAGGGCCAGTGGCTACCCGAATTACAGAGGCACCTCGGGGCATTTGGCCTTGGTATGCATTTAGATGAACTTGTAGTAAGCCCCATTAAGTCTGACGAGCCCTGGTTTTAAGGACTTTCTTCAATCTTTGGATGAGATTAGTGCCTCAGTCCTTCAGCTGTAGAATGGGAATGACCAGCAGAACTCTCTATCATACAGGGTAACTCAAGGCATCTGTCATCAGTGGACCAAGCTTAAGTCAAATGTCCCCAGTCCCTGCATGGACAGCTTCTCAGTGGGTTTCTCCTTTCTGGTAGAGGGGCTGCCTGCCTGCCTCCTGCAGGGCATGCTATACTGGCCCGGCACTTCTCTGTGGCCATGACACGCCTCTCTGTTGGATTCCTGTGTAACCACCATGGAGTCAACGCCTCGTGTGTTCCCCGCCATCTGTCACAGCAGATGCGGAGACTGTAACACTTCTAGCTTAGGAGGGCAGCCAACACCCTTGTGGGGTCTTTAAAATTCACAGCTAACAGTCGGAGCCTGTGCTTGCACGAAACCCCTCTTAAAGTCAAGATTTAGCAGTTGGTCACCATAGCAACATTCCTCGTCAAGTCTGAACTCCTTTCAGTGTAGATGGCCAACCTGGTTTAGAGGAGGGAAGTTTGGTGAGTTCTGGAAATAAGGATCTTTTGGGAGGCAAATGTTGGATGTCCTCAGACTCTAGCCTGATATGTTTGAAAGTATTTCTGTTTCTCTGACTTTGGGCTGCATATGCATTCATATGGAGAGAAGCTTTATTTGTTGTCAGCAGTGCATCCTCACATGGTAGTGAGTGACGGAAGCTCATAAGGAGATAATGACTATGAAGGCAATTTGCGCGAGTAAATGTGCTATACAAATGGCAGGTATTGCCGTCATTAGGAAAATAAGGCTCTGCTTGAACCCTGAGTTGTTACTGCATTTATTTCTACATGTTTTTCAATAGCTAGATATTAAGGCAGAAGAGGGCTTCCCCCTTTTAAGTTCATGTATTTAATTCTTCCTCGAGAGAGAGAGAGAGAGACAGAAAGAGGGAGATAACCCCCAGCAAAGTCTTCACACTATGATTCCCCTCACTTCCCGCCCAATCTCAGCCAGCATGGATCATGGGCATAAAAATACGTGCCCACATTGCATAGGAAGACCTCAGGGCCAGAATCTGAGACGTTCACGTATGGCCTCAGCATCATGAAGCACTGGGTCACTGCTGCACTCTGGTGGCTGGCTAGGCATTTCTTTGTGGTCAACCCTTAATTCTAGGCAAAGTGTCCAGCCAAGAGCATTCTAAGAGTGATGGGTCTAACAACCTCCTAAGATTACTTCCTGTTTTTGATATCATGGCTACTATACTCGTGGCTACTTGCCACAAAGACAAACAGGAGAGTATCTTTTCCTAAGGGAGATGTAAGTGTGAGCCTTTGACCCATTAATTGACTTAAATACCTATATCTTGGTGGTGATGTTGTGAATTTAGGACAAACCCTTTAATGAATTTATTTTCCACTACGCAGTATTTATTAAAAGTCTACTCATTGTTGAGGGGTGGGGAGGTACGGGGAAGGACTTTTGTTCCTGCCTGGTATAGTGTATAGTATATAGTCTATAAAATTGGTACATATAAAACCAGGTTCCTAGTACTTTCCTTGTCTTCCTCTGGTATTTGCCTTCTTTATTTTTCCTTTTATCATAGAAACAGTCTCCATCTACAAGTCTTATCCTTGACCACGTAATTTTAAGCTATGTTTTTCTAGGTTTGATTCATAGCTCCTTGACCATTTTAGATACTGCTCAGCACCACTAAAGCCAGTAAATTGGAACCTTTTATGGATCCAGCCCATGTGAAAGTCAGAATTTGCTATACAGGAGATAATACACTGATCTAATACTCCCTGTGGATTTTTCACAAACTAAGAAGTTACTCATTTTCACTCCACTCCTCAGCACATTGAACTGAGCAGGTGTGCGGGACACAAATGAGTGTGACCTGGTAGTGAGGCCTTGATGGGCAGGAACTTATAGGTCAATCTTGAAATGAATGACTGAGCTATGATGCTCACAAAACATCTATGCTTGAACTCTATCCAATCATTTCCCCTTTAACTGTGTGGCCCCTTCACTTCATTTTGTTCAGGTTTTATTTTCAGAAAGAATAAATAAGACTCAAAGCTATTATTCTATTTATATCCTTTTTAAGTGTCTCTTCTTGGTAGATAAAGAAATGGGATGCCTATTGTGTTTTTAGGGGATGGCACCTTTGTTATTTGCAGATTTCAAGAGGTCACACTCTTCTTTTATTAGTTATAAATTAAATAATCAAACACTAAAAGAGTGAAAAATAGTGTTGTAGTGTAACTGGTCTCAGAAAAAATGCATATACACACATACACAGTTTTGCATGGAATTCCGTGGACCTCTTAGTATATCAATGGAGTAATTTATGATAATGCAGCATAGTGATATCCTAAACAAATACAGAGTAGTAGATAATCCTTTTGTTTACAGCTCCAAGATAATTAGCCATTTTCACTTAAAAACTAAAACCCAGAGTTCCTGTAAAATCATAATAGGCATGAGTGGCTGCCTCTAAACATAGTAGTTGTTCTATGGGTTAGTAGCATGGCTTAGTGGGGGAAGGAAAGATTGAGTCAGATAGACGTAGTAGTTTAAATGTTAACTCTGCTAGTTAACAAGCTGTAGATAAATCCTTTACTTTGCCCAAGCCTCAGTTTCTCCTATCAGCACAATAGGTAATAATGTCTATTTTTCAAGAGGCTTTAAAATATTTTATGAAATAATTTACATAGGCAGTCTTTAAACATTTATCAGTCACCTAATATGTGCCTTGCAACATACTGGGTTTTTTAGCAAATAAGGATGAAATGGTCTCTTTCCTCAAAGAGTTCTTGGTCTTTGTGCTTACATAGCACATGTAACAGGTGCTTTGTAAACACTGGATTCTTCTACTGGTAATAGTTATTATGTACTGGAAAATGAAGAGGTGTGGGGGGGCATATGTTTATTCGTGTGGTTGAGGAAGAGTGGCATCTATGCCATTACAGGATTTATTGTCTCATTCATGCTACTGCTAGATTCAGACTTTAATCTCACCATTTTATGTAATTTTTTTCAAACACAGACCTATTGATCGATTAATTTGTGTTTCTCTTACTTTCTCCTCATCCTGCTTCTAAGGAGAATGCCTCTGCTATGAAGGTTACATGAAGGATCCAGTACACAAACACCTGTGCATTCGGAATGAATGGGGGACGAACCAAGGGTAAGTGAGGGAATGGCAAGTTAACTGCCTCCCAAGTCACTGCTCCTGTGTACAGACATGGCATAGAGCAGCCATGTGGCAAAGAACAGCACTAAAGGGTGGTGATATTCTGAACAGCGAACGGGTAAAAATGGCCCTGTGTGTTTCCATATTTATACCATTTCAGTGACGTCCATATCACTTTTTCTTCATTTACGAGTCAAGAGATGATGCCTTTGACTCGCAGCCCTGCAGCTTCCAGCTGGGATCTGAAAATCAAGCTGTCCCTCTCTTCCTTTTTACACCATGCCAGCCATGAGGATTCCGCAGGCAGAACTTAGCTGATGATTTTCTTGGAGACACGTGAAGCCACACAGACTCCAGCGTAGCTCTCCCAGGGCTTGATGAGCTTTGCGAGACTGACGCAACTAGAGACTTGTTTGCACCAGGACTGGCAGCAGGGGTGAAATGCACATACCTGAGGAGGGCTCTGTGTTAAGTAAGAGAATATTTTTGTCTGATTCCCCAGTTACCATTTCTCTGTGATTATCTCTGCTTTTCTCCAAGCACACGTGACTGGGATAAAGTAGTTACCGTGTCTATTTAATTTCTATTTTTATTTTAACATTTTTGGAATTTTTTTATTGTGATAAAACACATACAATTTACCATTTTAACCATTTTTAAGTGTACAATTCAGTGACATTAAGCACACTCACACTGTTATGTAGCCATTACCACTGTTCGTCTTCTATTGCTTTCTAAAAGCAACTGGACTTTGTCTTGGACGCTGAGAGGTTGCTTCCTGCACTGACTGGGTTGCAGAGGAGGGAGACGAAAGGGATCAATAGCTGCTAACAAATAGTAGCAATCAATGGAACAAGGAAAACCCAAAACAAATCAAGGCAAAAAGGCATGTTGGGGTAATTGCTTGGACTGCAAATTAGATATGTGTTTGCAGCATGACAAGGTGGGGAAAAGAAAACAATGTCACTTCAGACATTGCTATGGAGGACTAACATCCTTGAGGTCAGTGACCAGCCCCTTCTGTGTGATCCCAAGGAGTTCACACCTAGAATGCTGAATGTAGTTCTGGACTCCCAAAGCAATAAATACGGTGACAAATGGATGAAGGTTTGTAGAAGAGCAATAAAAATGATTGAAGAGCCCAAGGGAGTGATTTATGATAAAGGGATAGAAGAACTCAACTCTGAGAACTTAGCTAGCTGATGACTAAGTCAAAGCATGATAGATGCCCATAGATGTTAGAAGAGGGCAAATGTTCTGGAACGGGTTGAAGTTGAGGAATAAGGACAAGAGACAATGAAGTTAGAGAAAGAAATCTGAGTCACAGGTCAGAAAACTTGAGGAAGTCAAATGCCATGAAATTTTTCTGTTAGGGAAAGTGAAGGATTGCTCAGTTTTGACTGAACTTGATATCAGAGAGGCAGTCTACAAAATTTAGAGGAAGGTATTTGTAGAAGGGTAAAGACATTTAAGGTGGCCTTTATTGAAAGTTTTGTGGGGAGGGCAGCTGATTTGGCTGTTAGATGTCAAGTGGGGTATGAATAAAGAGTACCATTAGCTATATTAAATTCTGCTTAGACCCCTTACACAGATAGCACTTAAAATATTCACATAGTTACTGGAGAGCCAGAATTTTAGCTTATGTGGTGCCTGAGACTATGATTCTTACTGAGTAAAATATTGTAAAGGGTGATGAATAGCCACCTTTTCTTTTAGCCTGAAAACTTGCTGCTGAAGAAAACAACTACAAAATATCATTTCACTCTTGCTCTGAATGATCCAGGCTGTCTCTCTGTAGTGATTGGATTTGGTGGTTAATCGCTCAAGCCTCCACATGCCCAGCCTTGCCAGACCATTCGAGGATGGGCCTGACTTCACTTGGTAATTGCTGAGCCTTCATCATTCCCTCTGGCTGTATGTGGAGACAGTCTTAGGATGCAGACGAGACCCTCCAAGGAAATGGTGGAGTCCCCAGCATTGGTATCATTTAAAACAAGACAGGCTAAAGCACTGAGTTACAGACCGAAGGAACATTAGCCCCAGGAAATAGACAAGGAGACCTAATCTGTCATTTCCATCTCTAATTTCCATTATTCTATGATCATCACTGTCTACGAGGTCTCATTTTGGACACTAATAAAATAATGGAGCAACTGTTAGGGAGGGGGGAAAAATGACTATCTGGAGGATAATGGAACCAGGAATGATACACAGCATGAGTCTATATATATGTTAACCAAAAAAAAAAAAAGCCAGACAAATGACCACATTTCTCTTCACAAAATGACAAGATAAGGGAAAATAGAAGAATCCATACATCTTGATTTGAATCAGGGATCTGATGCCATGTTTCTTTCAATGATTCTTGTGGAATTAATTGAAATTGGTTTGAATGTAAAGACTATCATTTGAATCGAAAACTGCCTGACAAATTGGAAACTAATGACATGTATTGTGACATTATGGAAAAATCAATGGTAGGCTTGATTTTCCTGAATATTTAATGTTCCAGAACATACAGGTAAGCAGCCCATGTGTAGGTGTTTATGTTTTCACGTCGCATCCTTGTATCGCATACATTAAAGTAGCTGAACATTCTTTTGAAGTAGAACCGTCAAAGTCTAGGCCAGTAAATGCTAAATTATTTTGTGAAACACTGAGGTTAATGTACCAGGAGAAAAGTAGCAATAAGCATTGGTGACTTTCAGACAAGAAAGAAACTTGATCAAGGACACTAAGACAAAAAGTTACAAACAAATGATTCTGTGAGATGGAGAAATTATCCAGCCTCAGCCTTTCTCTCTGGTTTACCCAGAACCATGTATTTGCATGTGTGTGTTGTGAACATGGTCTCTGTGTGATTGTGTTCTGTATGTATGTGTGACAGTGTGAGCCAGTTTGTTTATAGGAATCTTCTCACTACTCCATCACTCACTCTCTCACCCATTTATGTTCTTACCAAATATCTACTCTATTATCTCTTGTAGTCTGGGAGAAGCTAGGTTGCCTTTCATAAGAAGAAGATGAGGTTTCTCCTCTGGATGAACAATCCACATATATGGAAGCATAACAAATGATTGTGATGAACTTCAAGATCTAGTAAAATAAAGATGTGAGCAAAGGTCTATGAGATTACAGTTTTAAGGGGTGGCTTATGTGAGGTTGAAGACTCTGGATCAGAACTTCACCCTGTTGGGTTTTGAACTGTTCTAAGTGATAAGTAACAAAAATAGTTCTAAGCAAAGATAATAGCAGATACAAGGACATGGAGACGTAAGAAGCATGGTTTTTCTAGGAACGGCAAATAAATAACTCAATGGAGCATAAAAGTGCAGTTTTCAGAGACAGAGGCTGAGAAGGTGGGTAAAGATTAGATCTCAAAGAGGTCTTGTTTACCAAGGCTTTGGACATTAAAGCTCTCATGTACAGGACACTGCAATTGTGAGCAGGAAGAGGAAGTTCCAAAGTATCTGTCTATTTGGTGGCATATCTTCTCATTTTCAAGATCAAACAACAAAGAATGACAAAGAATTGGAGATCATATGTATAAGGCATGTGAATCAAGGGACTGTGATAATTACTTGGTAACTTTATTGCGGCCAGAAATGCCCAGAGAGAAGTGAGCATGTTGAAACATTTATGCATTGACCTGGGTGGTGAAGTTGGTCACTCCAGCTCACCCCGGTGACAAGATCTAGGTGGCAGATTGTAAAATCATTGAACTCATTACACAAGAAGTTCCTATTTACTAAAAGTAAAAATAGCCTCAAAAAGATTTAAACAAAGTCATGGATGACAGGTTTCTAATGGGTTATTAAAAGAACAAGAGAGGTTTGAGGTTACATCCTTGGTCTTTGAGGTTGGCTACAAAAATCAATCATTTCCTGCCATAACACCCTATGTGATACAGCTGCCAGACAGAAGACTCAGGGTAGAAGGGTCCTAACCCTGTACTGTGGTTTACCATGCTGTCTATCCTGCACATATTCCCTGAGTATCCTTTCAGCTTCACATTCCAGTGGCTGTATAGACACAGCCAGGGACTCTCAGGATATGTATGTGATAATTGTTTTCTAGAACAATACCAAATTGAATTTTTTTATTTTTGAGAGGTTTTTCGCTACAGGGCGCGTGCGCTCGCCAGACAGACAGAGAGAGACAGAGAGACAGGAGGCGAGAAATCACCCCCCCAGGGGAGGATGGCCACGCCGCAATCCCTTCTTCTCCATTCTGCTCTCGGGATCTTGGGCACGCATGCACACGCGCCCGGTGTGAGTTTTAAGCCACCGGGTCCGGGACGCAAACCGCGGTCGGCTATGTGGGAGTCCAGCGACATAGCCATTACGCTAACTGCTGGTCCCCAAATTGAAAATTTTCACAGACAAGAAATGAAAACAATAAATGAAGGTGGAGAGGGTAAGAGAGATTGATTTATAAGAAAATATTAGAGGAGGAAAAAAAAGATTTATTTAGCTCCTTTAGAGATTATTAAGAAAGGCTATAATAAAGTATTTTTTGTTTGTTTGTTAAATTAAAAGTGTACCCAAGGGCCTCTAGATACATTTTTCAGAATACCACAATTAGATTACACTCGTGCATTTGAAGATTCTCAGTAAATAATAGTCTGATTTCTTATTCTGGCATCTCAGATACAGAGGGCAACACCAAGGAGAGTTCCCACTAGAGAAATATAAAATATCACTGGATTTTAATGCTGAAGGATGGAGACAGAGTGATAATTCATGAGATGGGAAGAGGCCTGCTGTGGAAAATGAACAGGTGTTTCTCCAAGGTTTTAAAAGCCATTGTCAGGAAGGGCCCTGCTCATCAGAACACCTGCTTCTTATACTACCTACTCAGGAGGTAGCACACTTACCAGGCCCTCCTCAGGTAGGTACACATGCATGTTGACATGCTCACACTCACAGCCAGGCCACACTGTCTTCATATGTCCTTTCCATTGTCTCTGGTGCTTGCCTTTTCTCTCCTTCTAG